GACATTGATTATTTCTTCTTCCACGATGTGTATTTCTATTACTGCTGTTACTGCCACACCCGTGCTGGCTTTATGATAATGGAGGTTTGGTTGGAGAGCCCAACATCAACACCATCAGGCTGCGCCGCATTGCGCAGCCACTGATCGCATACATGGGGCTGCGGCTGGGGTGTGCCGGCTGCGCGGCATGACCAACCCATGCACCGGGTCTGCGATTCGGCGCGTTATTGTTCCCAGAAATTCAAGCACGCAAACACACAATCGCCGACTTTACGCCAACACGTACTAGGGCGTTGCAGTCAGTTGCACTATAAATGGGTGTCCCATTGCGCCGCAGTGGCGAGACCAGCGCAGCACGATAGCACAGTATCAGCCAGAAACAGTTTTTTCCGGACACGACGACGACGTCGAGCCGTCAGCGGTGATGTGCTGGGACCTGTTGGGCCGTGGTGCGAGCGGGCACCTCCTGCGTTTGCCATCTGCCACGTACCGCAACCATCCGCAAACGGAACGCACGAATATCGCGTCCGGCCCGAGGGTTTTGGCAGGCTCTGGTGAAATCCGGACAAGCGAGCATCTGCGTGCAGCCCAGCTGGGGATGAAGCGCGCGATATCTGCACGTTTTTTGGGGATTTGCATCCAAATTATTCACTGGAGGTAGGCCATTGCCCGTTAAGAGAGCGATTAAAGTCCGCCGCGCAGCTGCGGACCCGGCCAAGCATGGGGCCCGTGCACGCAACGGGCTTCACCATGAGCACAGCGGTGCTACAAGATGCTGCAGGATATACCCATAATGCGGCAACTCGGCTCGTGCTTGGCGAGCTGAGGGAATGCTCAAGGGATGTCGGAAGTAGCAGCGTGCCCGCAACGGCGTGCTTACATGATGGGCTGGTTTGATTTTGCTTGACAAAGTGCACGTTGCCTGTTGTGTATCGACCGGGGCGTGCGCTGGAGTCCTGTAAAGGCGTCGCAGCAAGCCCCGGCATCATTGCCCAGCGCAAATTTTTGGCATGCTTGCAGCAAAGCGTGTCTGGTTGGTTGCTGGCGGAACGTTGGTTCCCACAATTTGTCAGACAAAATTTGTCAGATGTGCAACCATATTGCACCTCCGGTATGGCAAGCAATCACCAATGCTGCGCGGGCACACCGGTTGCGGAGCTTTCCCGAGGTCATGCCGGGCGGCACTTTCCTCAGACTGCGTGTGCCTTTCATTGTTCCGTTCCGCATGGAAGAGCAGCGCGCCAGTTATGTGTGAGTGTCCATCCACCTCCCACTGCAGTTGCGGTTACGTCTTTGTTCCGGACCCCTGTGGCACGTACGGCTATTTCCAACACAAAGGCCTTTGGATCGCAACAGTGGTGGTAGTGGTAGTGGTGCTGGTGCTGGTGCCGACGGCGGTAATAGCAGGAAACGTGGTGTTGGTGGTGCTTGTGGTGGTGGGGGTCGTTGTTCTGGCAGTGGTGGTGGTGATGGCGGTAGGGGAAGTAGACTACAACACCCAGCTGCTGTTGTTACGGCGATTCTTTGTTGTGATTTCGTATGGGGATTGGCCAACGGATCCAATGGCTGGATGATGACGTGTAGCGGCGGGGACTGATACAAAGCAAAATTGCCCACGGCACAATGGATGTGAAAGATGCAGCGAAAAATTGTATTTGTACATGCTTGCTGGTGAACTGCGTCTAGTGTACGCTCTGTGGTTCTCAGCCGTCGATGTTGTGTTCTGGTGTTATTTTGTTTCGTTGGTTGTCTGGGATGACTGTGAACCATACATGCGCAAACTCGTTGACACCTCTGACCGTGACTTACGTTACGGGACACGTTTTTCTGGTCGTCATATTTCGGCGGCAGACTTCCTGCCGTTAAGTCAGCATGGTGTGGCAGGTGTAATTGTGTGTGCGTGTCTGTGTGTTTTTTTTGTGTCCCGTTTTTTTTCACCATTGCATGACCATGTCCCAGCGGTTGACACATGTGCAGCATTTACAGCTGTTGGGGCTTCGCAGTGCGGCGGCGTGCAACCATACGCCAGCGGGTTGCTGTGGCAGCAAACCCGGGCAGGAACAGTTCGATGGGGTACTTGCCAGGTTTCCTGGGTGTCGCGTGTTCTTTCCTTGCCTTGCTCCGGAAAACGTTCGTAGCTAGCACGTCAAGGCTGACGGCGTGAGCGCCTGTCGCACAGCATCCCGCGCATCGACGATCTGCAGTTGGCGTGGCTTTGCGCCAACTACCTCCTCCGAGTTTTGCTGCCTCAGTGCATTGCTCGACCTTGGGGAAGGGTTTTTGCCACCACCTGAGGTTTGGCGGCCTCGGTTTCAGGAGCGCTGAGGCAGAGCGCTATGCAACCCACTGGGCCTCTTGGTGCGATGCTTTGCCGGTTATCGCCAAGGATGCCGGCCCGTCGCCCGCATTGAGGTGGGCCTTCGTCGCGTTTCCACTGTGCACCATGACGCTCGGCGCTTGCTCATTTCGTGACTGAGGAAGCGCCGGCCTACCTCGACTCCAAGAAAAAAATGGCGGCAACAAAAAATCATCAACGGAGCCCCGAAGCGGCTGAGTTCATTCGGCTCCCCGCGCGCTGCCGCGCGCGTTGCACACCACCTTTGTTGCGCAGCGCGTGTGGCGCTGCCTTTGTCCAGCGGTGGTTTTCCGCTCGCGGCTGCGGCCTTCGCATCCACGCTGCGGTCGCTGCCACTCCATGGCGCAGCAGACGTCGACGGGCAGTCACCTCCTGCACGCAGATCGTCCGTCCCTCCAACGCGCCTCTCCGCGGCCGCCTTCCCGCGCGCAGCTATCCGCTAGAAAGGCTCAGAAGAAGCCCCGAGGCCCAGAAAAGGCGGGGCAAGAAGCCAGCAGCCCAAAAAGCCCAGAACATGCCCGAGGCCCCAGAAAAGGCCCAGAAAAGGCCCCGAAGCCCAGAAAAGGCCGGGAAGAGGCCCAGAAGCCTGCAAAAGCCCAGAAGAAGCCCCAGGGCCCAGCAAAGGCTGGGAAGAGGCCAGAAGCCCACAAAAGGCCAAAAGTCCAGGAGACCCCAAGCCCAAAAAAAGGCTGGGAAGAGGTCCAAAAGCTTAGAAAAAAACTAGCAGAGGCCCCGAAACCGAGAAAAAGGTTGGGAAGAGGCCCAGAACCCCACAAAAGGGCCGGAACAGGCCCGAGGCCCTAGAAAAGGCCCAGCAGAAGCCTCGAAGGCTGGGTAGAGCCCAAAGAGGTAGAGTGGGAAGAGGTCCAGAAGCCTAGAAAAGGCCCAAAAGAGGCCCCAGGCCCTGAAAAGGTTCCGAAAATGGCTAGAAATCCAGAAAACTAAAAAGAGTCCCAAAAGAAGAGGTCCAGAAGTTTAGACGAAACCCAGAAGAGGCGGAAGAGGCCCAGAAACCCAAAAGGCTCAGAAGAGGCCCGAGGCAGCTAGCGTGCCCGCGGCCCCGGCGTCCGAGCTTGCTGTGCCCGCCTTGAATTTCTGTACACTGCTATGGACTATTGCGAGTGGTTTTGGACTTGGTCTTGGACTGGCCCGTTGCAAAAAGGTCCGGGGGGAAGCATGCCCATGGAGACGGATCCACTCCGCACCCAATGATCCATAGGGAATGACCACAATCAAATCACATGTTATTTGTGGTTCCGAGGCACACTCTTAGACACCAATCCAATCCGTAGCCAACGATCTACAGGGAATGTCCTCGGAGTCCCACAGCTCGTTGGCCACAAGTAGATCGCGATTTAACTGTGGTTGTGAAGCGCGGGCGGATCCAATCCGTACGTTGGAATACCCTTGGTCACAATTAATTCATGTTTTCATATCGTCCGTGTGACTTATGGGGAAGGTGTTGGGGGATGTTTTGGGAGAATGAACTGAGGACCGGGCCAAAAAAATGAAAGTTTTTCTTTGACACTTAAAGCAACAACCGTCCGTATTCGTATTATCATTAAATACCCGCTTCCTAGTTATTCCAATGATATTATCATGATTGGTACTATAATTACCACTACAACTACCACAACAACGAACAACAAAAACTACCACCACTACTACTCCTACTATTACTATTATTACTACTAGTCCTACTATTGCTATTATTACTACTACTGGTACTACCACGACTACTGCTCTTATTACCATTGCTATTCGGGATATTGGACTTTTCATCAACTTCGGATTTAGATATAAAATTGATAACAAATTGATGTTTCCATTCTGACAGGAACAATTATCATAATCATAATTCTTGCCATATCTATGTGGTTTTGCCTGCTGTTGCTCAACTTGCTGGCTTTGCTTCTGCTGCTTACTTTTATGTTTGTCATACATGTTTTTTTTCTTTTTGTGTAGGGGTATCAAAGTGATTGTAGGCTTTTCTTAATGTTACAATGTTGATGTATGCAAGTCCAGGGCGGCCGAACCAACCAACCTTTCCTTGATCCCAACAACTGGAAATTCCCGCTTAGACTGCTTGCGGCTTCTGCAAGGCATCAGCAGATGCGCTTTTTCGAGGTTCCAACATGCCCCGCTGGGTTACGCTGCCGGACCACACCACAACACAACAAAAACAAATAATCACGCCTTGTGGTTTATCATGCCGAAAAATGCAAAACTCCACGAACCACGCACCTTAAACACCAGAAGAAATCAGTAGCCATGAGCCCCCAATGCCCTGAACATGCAAACCTTTAGACGCCGCATTTCAACCTTTTAGAAACCAACAAATGTCCGTGAGATCCTTGTAATAGAAGTCGCATGGAGGAAAAACATGCACTGCAACAAGTTATTCTGCAAGGCTTTTCCATTCAGTCACCTTACATAATTGGTGTTTAGGACTTCACGTGCATGGGTTGGCGGGGCTGACAGAAACAACCCGGCACGCATGTTATTAACTTTGGACGCGACTCTGGCTGCAGCTGTTTGGGATTTGTTAGTAGTTGGCGGGGCTTATCAGGCTGCTTGCGGTACAGGCCATGCACTGTTGACGTGATTTGTTCATGTGTTTGACAATACATGGCCATGAAGGATCATGGCAAGCGAAAGCGGGCTGCCATTTTCAAGCGACATGCCAGCTGCGGCGTCCAAACCAAGATCGATACAGGACATTGTGTCTGTCATCATCTCGGTACCGAATGTTTTGTGTGACACACATCACACGAGGAAGCTATTTTATCACATCTGAGGTGGTCGTTGACAGCGTGTGGCAATACGTGCATGTGGCGGCAGCTGCTTTCTTGTTCTATGAAGACCGCCTACTTTGTCTCTACAGTTTGGTGGGTTTTGCAAGCCTATGTTGCCGCTGGGCAAGCAGGGGGTGGTAAGCATTTGTTCGTACCCATAGCTCATTGGCCATTTTTAACATGTCATGAGGCGGTGTGGTAGCAGCGTCGCGCACTGGTGGCGTCGTCCCCGTCATGGGGGAAGAATTGTGGAGGATTGCCATTCCGGCCTCTGCCATAATATCAGTCACAACGTCATTGCCGCTTGGCTGCCTTTTTTTGATGCAAACACCCAACATGCAAGAGAGTCCTCCATCCTGGCTCGGAACATCTAAGGGGATGTCGGATTGCAGGGTGGGTTTCAGCAAAGGCCACCTGTTGTTTGTGCGTGTTGGTTCCAGCTGCCATTGTGGGTTTGACGACCGTCACGGTCCGGAACGACAAGACTGCGCGGCTGTGCATGAGCTGCAGCAAGAGCTTGCATGTTTTCACTATTGATCACATGGCAACAAGTTGCCTTGTTGCCCAAGTTTCTCTTCAGTCTTAGGCGCCTCTGAGCAACTTCATCAACACCCGCAGTGCAGCAGCAAGCGTCTATTTGCAAGTGAGATGCCACAAAAATCTTAGCGCACAGTATCACCAAGACTCAATGTCCAATTGTGTCTACCAGGTCGGTCTAGAAGGTGTCACTGGCCTGCATAAGGCAGTCCAGCAGGAGCAGTCGTACATTTGCTGCTCCACTGAAGATGCAGGCTGCGCTCCGGCGAAAAATTGACGGCAATCAAAGATCACTCCTCTGCCAAGTGTCGCCGCATGGTTATGTGAAGCTGGAAAGCATTCGTACCGACTGAATTCTGGCTTTGGCAAGCCCAATATGGATAAGAGTGGTGAGCCTTTAGCACCATCCGCGATGACGGTGCCCCGCAAGATGTAGCCAAACATTTGCATACTCCTGAGCGCTTCACATGCTGCAGATTCTGGTGCCGCCGACAGGATCTGATACGGCAGAACCACACTACGAAAGATGGCCACGCATGTGTTTCGTGGGATGGTTTTGCCATAGCCCAAGCATTCCTGCAGCGATTCCAGTCTCACGTCATCAAGCGGCCAGCGTCCTCAGGTTCCCGCATGGCGAGTGACTTATTGCATGCAGTCGTGCCCGCCAAACTTCGGCGTGCATTCGCATTTTTGGAAATCTTTTAAAAACAAGAAGTACGTCCCGTTGAGATTTGTTGAGGTCGCGCACACTAGAGTGTCAAAGGATGCGGCCCATAGAAGGCTCACTGACCAAAATTCCGGCGCCGTCACCTCAGATGCGCGCAACTTTCAGGTGCGTCCATCACGGATCACGTCGCTTGAGGTCCAGCCGCCTTGCACCTGTTGGGCACGGCATGGACAACAGACCGGAGGCGACTTCCAGAGAGAGAGGGACAGAACGCTTTTGCTTTGCCGTGTTTTCTTGCATCTGTGTTTGAGGGATTGGGTGGCTGGGTACAATTCTGAGGAAAGGCAAGGAACACATGAGTGATATCAGCGGGGGGCGTGGGTGTCAGAAGTTCAGCCAGCAGCCTCGAAGCTGTCAAGCATCGTGCAGCTGGTGCTCCTTTCTTCAGTATTCATTATGCTCTTACTCACACAGTGCAAGATCTGCTTCGCAAAGTTCACAAAAAGCCATTACCATGAACCAAACGCGAATGTGCGCAGCAATGGGACCAGAAAAGCAGCATTTACATTTGTGGACAATGGTTTGGGTAGCATGCGCATGCTCTGCCGGCGTTGTAGAGCCTGCTTTCTGAAGAGAGCACAGACGGAGCAATTCAACTCATTGTTCAATCGACGTATTCATGTTCTTTGCGTCTGTCCTCATCATTTGCACGCACATGTGCTTTTGACTTGCAAGTTAACATCATCACGTGATCTTTCTCCAGCACTTTCTTCCAGAAAATGGGAAGATGATATTTTTCAACACGGTTCCTTTTATCCTTCGGTTTGAGCCGTACTTTGTCCTTTGCCAGCGCATCAAGCTTTTCATTAGTACGGAGAGCAAACCAAAATAACATAATTCCCACGCACAGCGGTACGGTATTTGGATTGTCAAACGCCTCCGACATGCTGTAAAAATCCTTGGGCAAAAAAAGGCAGTGTGGCTTCGTTGTATGTACCCCTTGTGCAGCTGAGTCCAGAAAGCGGTTTGCAGCAAAGGTGTTGGGTTTGTCATGGGCTTCCTGCAGGCACGGCACAAAGACTCACGTGACACATGTCGGTGGGCATTTGAATAAGGTTGGGCGGCGTTCACGACGCTGCGAGCTATCCGCCTTCAGATATGGATACCGCCCAAGCTCTGGAGCTACGGGCTGTAAAGAACATGGACGTTGACATGCCACCAGCTAGGTTTACAGTATCACCAAGCTTTTCACAAGCGTGCCACCTTGACAGCGCACTGGTCGATCTGGCTCCTCCAGCAATGGACTGTCAATGCTGCCGAGAAGTCGAGGCCACTGCCTTTGCAGACTTGCGGTAAACAGGAACAGTGAAGACACTTGATTTCCACTATTTTCTTTTAGCCTTGAATGCGAGTCCGCCCAGTTTGCGAAAATTGCGCATGTAGCCGGAGGAAGTGGCGGGTTGCTTCGTGCAGGCAGCAGCTGACTTTTCTGCGACGCTCGTTGACACTGCAATGGTTCTTCAGATGGTTGGTGATTTGGAAGAGGTCCGGGGTCTTCATTGGCCTCAGTTTGTCTTGGATCTCTTGAGCAGGTCACGAATGCAGCAGACTCTGACTTGCCTGCAGCAATGGCACGAGCTTTTGGTCCTGCCCCTCACTCAGTCAGACCGGGAAGTTGACATTAGGACTTTGACTCCTTGGCATGGAGGATGGTATCCAAGCTCTCTTCGGGAGCAGATCTGCGGAAGGCGTCAGACGCCTGCGATGCAGTGGTTTCAACCATGTGCCCTGGATGCTACAGATCTAAGCTTGCACATTGTCGAGCAGCCAAGACTGCACCTCCAGAGGTCTTCATGCTGGAGTTGGGTGGCAAGCTGGTCAAATGCATCAGGCCAGATTCGCATTCAATTATGATGATCCCGTGCAAGTACCATGCACGGCACCAGGCCCCATGGGGGCGCTGGGGGCCAGTTCAGCGAAGCCTTGGAGGCCAAAAGGCTTAGCCAGTCAATCCCAAATCTTGCAAAGGACCCCTTCATGCTGCACAACTTGCTGCCGTAAAGCATTCGTGGTAACTGATTTCGCAGCTGCAGGATCCACAGGTGCTATTTCCCCAAGCTTTCTTTTTATTTCGGGAGAAGGCTTCTTCGGCGTTTGTGTGTGAGGCACGGCAACGCGTGAAACTAGTTTGCTTGGTTGTCAGATAGACGGATTTTCCTTGCACGCTATATGCTGCGGAGGTGCTCGTTTTTGAGTACCTTCCGAACTGCCAGTCTGTCGCTGATGTCTTGAATCGGTTCGAGCGCACACACCCGTGTGGCCAACTCCTCGGCTTCTGCGTGTTGTGGGCTTCGCACTGTACTATGTTTCCTGAGGGTCGCGTCATCACACCGCCACCTGCCGAGTACACCGCGCAAATGATCCGAACGAGGCTCTTTTTTTGTAATGGTTTGCTCTTAACTGTGAGCATTTGCTGGCAGGTCAAGTGCGAGCACGCAAAAGCTTTACGGAGCTTAGTGCGGCAGGTAGCATTACTGGCGAGGTGGAATGCAAATGAAAGCTATGCCCATAAGGCCAACTGACCATGTTGTTGCAGGCACTTCCAGTCTACGCATGGTCGCCGGCACGGCGACTTCAAGGAAGCTGTTACGGTTCACGAGGCACAGGCCACTAGGACTGCAGAACACATATGCCAGAGGCGGACAACGTGCTCATAGATGAGCGTGGCCGCCTGTTGCTGGCCGATTTTCTGAGCCCTTTCTGCATGTCCTGTGTGCTGCCCCTAGCCTCAGAAAAACAAAGTCCATATGACATTTCAAGCCGTCATTCCTTGAAAGGACAAGGAGGAGTTTCTTAGCTCAATACGGAGTCAACACCCGTCGTCTCAGGCAGAGCACTCTTGTTTCTACAGCCATGCAGTTCGGCCATGATGCCATCCGTCAAGAATGATGTCAACAGGAGCTGCGGGCCGCCTTTGACAACGAGTGGCAGGCCGTGATGCATTGTAAGACTGAGAGAGGCGTTGCTCGAAAGCGCTTGCTGAGCGTCGCGTGGCACATTGCTGCTAATTTTTGAGACCCTAACCCTAACAGGATTAATGGCCTGATACTTAACCTGCCGCACCTGATTGATATTTGCTGTTGTTGCCCATGTGCCTTGCCATGTAACCACATGTGAGAGCTCGCTTGGAAGACAGGCTGCGCATGCCAAGGTTTATCGATCTCAGGTGGGATGGGACTGCTTGGCAGCATTTGTGCAAGTCAATCGTGCAGCAGGACATGATGACCGGTCAAAATGCGTGGTTGATTTCCGAGCTGAACGGCTTGATCGATGTCTCTTGAACGAAAGAAGCCGAAGACGATGGTTCAGTGTGAGGGCAAGAAACTGGCATACATGTTTCAGAAGCCCACTGACTTAGGTTTCCAGCCAGCAGTCTATGTTTGGGTTGGTGACCAAGTCCCACGCGATCTGTTGGCATCTCTCGGTTCAGACTTTGTGAAAGGCCTCTGCCGGATCTGCTGCAAAGCATTTCCACGTGGACACCATCTTCGGCCAAGTCAACAACAACCCCCAGCTCCTTCTCATTTACAGGAAAGCTTCTCAGGCAGACTGGGTTCACCACAGCCTGTGTGATTTATTGCAGGTGTGACCGATTGGCCTTCGCCTGGTAGCCAAAGCCAAAGCCCGGCATCTATGGCTCAGAAGTCGCCGCAGACAGGCGGGAACCCACTTACAGGAATGTAGACGGATTGGCAAATCCAAAGCCCAAGATGCAAAATCCAAAAGCGATAGCTCAAAGTCCAAGTCCTCCAAAGACCTCCAGGACCTTCATTGTTCTCGGTTTAGAGTTCCTTGCAAGGCAAGGTGCTCTCACCGTTTGGAGAGCTACCCTGTCGGGTTGCAGGTCAAGACTCACAGGCGCACTTGGCAGTGTAGAATCAGAGGGCAGCCTTGAGTTGAGCCAATGCAATAGGCCCGGAGGCGAACAAGCACGTCATCTGTGGTCCCGGCCCCGATTCGCTGAGCACCAGTTGCGTGCCCAGATCTTTTGCAGCGGTCGTTTGCAAGGCTTCTCCAGCTGGTGCTACCCTTCTGGCTGAGCCGAATTTGCTGATGCAGGTCTTGGAAGCTGAAACCAAGGGAAGATTGAATGAGAGCGCGCAGAATCACGTGTATCTGCAGGCCCGAAGCTTTTTTGCCGATCCCACATTCAAGCAGGACGGTGCCCAGATTGGTGCAAATCCAAATTTGACCCCCGGCGACTCAATTCAACAATCATACTGCCAGGAAGCGGCCGCTTTTGCAAACTTTCCGGCTTCGCTGTCTTTCGGAGGGCGCGAAGCCTGGCACACCCTCCAAGATGTGCTTTGCAAGTTGCCAGAAGAAATCCAGGAGCTTAGCATTGCCTCCTGCAGCACCAGCACTTATCGGCGTATCTGGCAACCTAGCTCCAAGCTTGGCAGTTGCTGCCCCAGACCTTTAGCAAGATCCCCAGCGCTAACCAATGCGATCAGATGACAGCAGACTTCTGTGCAGGCCAAACAGTTCCCTTTGTTTTCTGATTCACTGGACCAGCGCTCAGAGAAAGCTGGATGCGATGGTGGGCCTACAGCCTACGCACTCGTGTAGCACTGACTTATAGCCGTTAACTTCAGATCAGTGTCTCAAGTACGAGAAAGTATGTTGCTGGCTTCTCTTAATCCTCGCAGGACTGTCGCAGCTATCGAGTTTGAGCAAAGCGTTTGTAGTCCGGTTGAAGACATAGCCAATCTCTTGCGTCAAATGTCAAACCCCGCAATTCCAGGTCCAGACTTCGCCATTCTTTCCTCCATTTGAGGGCTGGCCTCTGCCAGGCACAAAGATAAACCTGTGACAGATCCTCGTGGAAAATCTTGACATTTCTAGCAAGAGACAGGAGATGCCCTTGATTGGCATCTGTCCAGGTTATTGCTTGGTAGTGAAGTGGTGTACTTCTAAGAGTTTAATTAGAGATTCAGGGTCATCTTGGGTAGCATTTAGAAATAAATTCAATCCAAGCTGATACAGCCTCTGACAGCAGATTTGACACACATGGAACAACTCTTCAAGCACAGCTTGGAATGGAATTCTTCGCAAACTGCTGTGCTGCAGCACAAAGACGTGCGGCTGCGGAGCTGAAATTAATTCAATGTCTACATATATGCAGCAAATTCTCGGCTGCTTCCAAACATGTTAACGTCACCCACTCCAGGAGTCAAAAGTCGAGGGAGAGCTCAGTCAGTGTGCCGGCAGTGGAAATTGAAAGCTGCAACCATGGCTACTGCAAGAGGCACCAGAATCTAATTTCACCGCTATTTCGCCGCGACCGTAGAACTGCTCAAGCGTAGCAGCAGCCACTACATCCCGGCCTTGTGCAAGCACGGTGTCTCCACAGCGTGGTTGCCGGGTGTGTCTGCAGCTCAAATTGCGGGACGCTTTTGCCGTAACGTAGAGAGGTGGCAGGTTGGAACAAGCTGTTCTTGGATTTTCCCAGGCACTGGTGCGGAGGCTGGAGCTGTAAATGATTGTGTGCCCTGTAAGCACACCAAGGCAAACAGACACAATCAAAGTCCTGTTTTTGTCCTTGGCACATGCGACACGTGAACTTGTTGTAAGGTACCAGCCCGGCTCTTGGGGCGTTGGCTTTGCGTTACGACTCCATGGCTCAGTATTTCCCCGTGCATTTGCTTCTCGGCCTTGCCACTACTTGTCCAGCCCAGCGAAAAGGCAGGCGCACCTTGCACTTACTCTAGCACCCCAATGAAACCAAACTTGACGACTGCTTGTGAGATCTGTCAGTGTACGAGTGGCCCAGCTGGCCTGGCTTTTGTGCTTAAATGCTTTCACTTGTGGCGGGGGGGGGCTCGGTCACACTAAAGAGTGTGTAAATGGCAGAGCTGCAGGATGCACTGTTTGGCTTAGCATCGCGATCTGTTGCGTTTTCCTGGTTGCTATTCTTGATGTGGCAAGGCTCCAGCCGGGATATGTGCTGCATTCACTTTGCTACTACATTGGCTGCTACGTTGCCAAACTCAGTTTGTTTGAAGCTTTCCGTCACATATCAGCGGTGCATTTGACAGCCCCTGCGCTGACACCAAGGCCTAGATCCTGCAACGCTCGAGGTGATTGGTACGGGCGCATCTGAGCAGGGCGTTTTTGATGGCTTTACGTTTGTTCTTGGATTCTTGATAGTATTCCGGTCGCCATCTCAGCCTTATCTTTGCTCATGCACCAACGAGGGAGGCAGCCTGTGTAAGTGCCACCGGAAGACCCGTAATCGCACAGGTCGCAGCAAGCATATTCAAGATGGTGGGAGGGTGGTACCTTACTTCAGCAATTGCGGGGTGAATGGTTCAATTCTTACAGCTTCTTGGCTGCGGAAAGTCCCAATCTATCAAACCTGTGCTCCGGAAGCTGCAGTAGAGTTTCATTTGACAGGTTGCCTGATTGCGTTCTGCAGCAGCTCTCCAGAGAAGAAGGAGGAGCCAAGGGTATCACAGATTCATTCTTAAATTACCTACTGTGTATGGGGTGTTTCGGGTCCGTGAGGAAGTCAAGGCGTTTCAGCATCAGCTGGTTCGCCTGTACAGCTTGCTGTATGGTTGCGCCTTGCAACAAGTTGCAACCATGGATGAGAAGACCTTCGACCTCTTCGGCTTGGACGGCTTTGAGCCTAGTAGTATGGCTTTCCTACAAGGGAGCCATGACCGCTGCGAAATTACTCTCCAATGGATCCAAAGGCTCATTGTTGAGAGTGATGCGAAGCAAATTCTGAAGATAGCTCCGCCTATCTTGTCGAGAGTATTTAACGAGCTCGGCAACGGCATCGTCAACCTGAACAACGCAAGGAAGATCACGGACTTTCCAATCCCTTTTCATCTCGCGCAGCCGGAGGCTTATTATTCAACATTTCGTGGCACGAGTGCCTCAGGCTCAGTCTTCTAGCACATTACTGCTCTCAAGGCGGGGCACCTGTCAGAAGTTGGTGCTTAGGATGATCACGGTGATGCTTATGGCACATTCCCTGGTGCTGCCATTGATCTCTGCAGCCACCGTGGACAACATTTCATCAGCTGGTGGTATTACATTTTTTGCTCCTTGACGCCGAACTTTGAATCAGCAGCTGGTAAGCTACATCAACATACATAACAGAGAGAGTCATCACATCAGGTCAGTTTCGCGTACTGGGCAGCCCTTGGCTTAATGCGAGTGTTGCACGTCCCCACCTGGTTAGAAGCGATGCCGTAAAGCTTTGGCTGGTAGGTTCATTTCATCACCATAGAGCTGGAATGGCCCTTTGGAGATGCGGCAGCCTCATTTTCATGCAATGCACGCAACGACTTTTCCAGCCGACGTCCTGAGGATCCCAATGATCTCCCGCTACAAGACATGCAAACAGACTTCAACATGTGGCTTTGCTGATAAGTAGCGAAGGGGATTAGCATCGATTGCACTATGCAGTCTTGCTTTCATGGAATGCCGTGGCATGCTTTAGTCAAGTTCACAGTGAATGCCCCTTCCCTGGAGCTGCACTGCTCTAGGAGTCTGTCTAGTTTGATCGACGACAGAGCGCAAGAGGTGCCAAAGTGTCTCGGCCCGTCTCGGCGCATCTTGATGCATCTTGCAACTCGTGCTGGTGACCCAAACTTTGTGTACCGCACAGAAGTGCCGAGGTTCAGCTTTGAGCCACAAAAACATTTGCTGCTGAAGACCAAGAGCATTAATTTCGATCGAGACCTGTCAGTGGGAGCTCCCGCTAGACAGCGCATGTCAAGATTTCAGGAGGCTCCGGCTGTCGCAGGATTTTCCAGCTGTTTGCGGCATTCTGTTATCGCATTTGCAGACTGTCAGGTCCAGGCCCGAGGCCGTGCAGACTCAGGAGAGGAACCTGCAGGAGTTGCAGGTTTGGCTTCTGCTAAACGGCGGAAAGTCGCAGAGTCAGAAGCATCCTGTCAGGAATGATCACTGTTGAGCAGGACTTTCTTGGGTTTTGCGCACGAGAAGGCGGAACGAGTTTTTGCTAATCTCGACGGATTGAAGTCAGGACTTTGGCGACGGGGATGCCCTGCCTGTTGCTTCAGAAGGAAGTCCTGAGGCTCCCAAGCAGGAAGCAGAGGCAATTGATTCTGGCTGACCTGTTTTAAAATGCCATCGTCCACTAGGGTCTCTAACGCATGGGGATAATGGCTGTGACAGGTTCACATGCCAGCAAAGTGCAGCAGCAGATCCTCACCTTCGGAGAACAGAATCCAAGACAAACTTGACATCAAGTTGTTGGAGGAATATCTGGATTCCGCAGATGCCGGTCGAAGATTAGAAGGATATCTTGCGCTAGTTGTCCGACAATTGCAGCGTATCTTGGCCAGCAGGAGGTCCTGATTGTAGACCGGCTCTCTGAGAGATGTCAGGGTACAGTTCAAGAAGGTTGTGTGTTCCAAAATGGTCCTCGCAAGGGTATGGTATAGCCAAAGCACGCAGCATGCTAACAGCTTTCGGGGCCCAGAGTTCAAACACAAAACTGGGCCAGTGCACCTTCTTTGAACTCATTGTAGTGGCCATAGCATGCCGTAACTTCCCATGTAGGATTCTCCGAGTGCACCTGCTATAGGCTAAGAGGATAAACAATTGGCGGATAGGCTCTGACCCAGGCATTGCGCCGATGGCACAGGATTCTGAGACAAAGAGTTCAGAGCAGCCTGGTTGAGCATTGTGTGTGTACGATGGTTTTTGAGTTCTACGTACAGCGGAAGTTCTGAGGCGACATGATTGCCACAACCGTACTAGAAGAGACCCTGATAATGCACGGATCTCAGTTGCGTTGAGCTGACCAAAATCTGGCTTCAAGCAGCGGCGCATTTGGCAAGGCCTGGGTCTGCGGCTGATGGAGGCTGTTCAAGACATGCCTCCAAGCCCAATGGCACATAGCAACCTCATGCAAATGCATGCAGATTCTTGATGCTATGGCTACGAGACAAAATCGTGATGTGGATACCATAATGGGATAGAAGATCGAATCAACATCTAGGTCCGATTTTTCGTACATTCGTGTATCAGATAAAGTTAACAATGTAATTTTACCTCAATAAAAGGATGCGGGCCAGGCCTCGCGCGGCCCTTCGATTCCTTATACAGATGCATTGGCTTGGCGACTTATTGTGACACGAAGCCGATTTCTAAGTCTTACGCGCTAGTAGTCAGTGTAATCAACGTTAGTTCAAGTTCAAGTTCCCCGTTCCCCCGCCTCACTTTCGGGTAAGTGTCAGAGTACGAGTGTGTGTGCGTTTGCGTTGTGCTGTCTGGGTGTACATGGCGTGAATGACTTGTCTTGGCGTTGCAGTGAACTGAGCCGTAGCGCAAGTGCTGTCAGCCATTCTGGCTCCAGCGGTAGGCTTTTAGCTGAAAGGCTGTGCTTGCTGTTGGACCCCTACATTGTAGGCTGCATTTCTGCAGCACTTTCCCGGGGTCCTGAGGTCTGTCCTCTGGCCCCAGAGCCTTTGCCAGCTTCCATGGACCCTGGCCTTTTATTTGACTTGGACGGCGCCGTTGCAGAGCAAATGCGACGAGGCTCATTGCGCCTGGCGCAAGGGGCAGAGGAGGATGAGGAACCAAGAGGACAGCCGCGCAGGCCTCACTTGAGTCGGGCGACGGCGCTGGTGGTGGTGAAGCCTCGGTCGCACCAAGTTCGCGGCCGGCCACTACTACTGCCACTGCAGTAGTAGCGGCCGACCTGGCCGTGAAGCTTTGCATAGTGTGCAATGAGGTAATACCACCGAAAAAAAATACTGCATGAAACACGAAAGAGCCGATGACGTACTCTGGACCTGAGCGAGACTCGGAAGCACAGACGAAGAAAAAGCACCGGAGCACCAAGCATTCGTTGCTATAATTGGGGACCGCAAAACTCCTGAAATTCCTCACTTGGCCAACAAAGTCTTACGGGACTACATAGAGCAGTTTGGGGATGCGGGGGACAAAGCCAAAGAGAAAAAAGGCGAGCCACGTGGGAAATTTTCCCTCCTCGCATACATGACAGAGGCCGGTTACCGCCAAATTGGAAGAAAGCATCGACGCAATCCCATCTATGATTGGGAGTGGTTCCTTCGCAAGATGATGCAGGTGAGGGGTTGGTCGGAAGCAAAAGCAGATGCCAAATGGAAAGAGCTGGCGTCAGATAACAGCAACCTCTACGACAACAACGGGCCGCCGCCGCATACCCCACGGCTCCGGCTCCGGGTTCCGGCTCCTTGGTGGGAGGCGAGTCCGTGGACTCTGATGAGGAAAAATGCGAAGAGCACAAATTGCAGGAATGCAATAAGTTGGATGCAAAAGCTTTAGCAGATGAGCAACACTTGTTGCTTCATCATGCAAATCATGGTTTCAGCAGCAACTTGAACATCGACGGGCCGAACATGACGTCCAGTATGCCCAGCAGCAGCGTTGCGCGTCCTGCGGCTCTCCCGAATGTGGACTCATTTACGGAGCAAGCACAGCTGGTGCTTAACAAGTCCCGGACGCCCATGCAGTTCTTGACGGAGCAGAAGCTCAGCCACAGCCGCTGGCCGCTTCCGCCGCGCCGGGAACTACGACTCCGACGGCTGGCGGCACGGCCCCAGGCCAAGCGCCTGCAGCGCCTGTGCCTGCGCCTCCCCAGAACTCCTCTCCGTATGATCTCAAAGCAGCTAGAGGCACAGGCCAACGAACAGTTCGCAAAGATGCCAAGCTGCATTAATTGTGTTTATGCATCACGCATCAGTTACTTTGTTCAATGTGCACATTTCAGTCGTCCTTGAGTTCTGAGTTCGTCCCCAGCACCACTCTCGCATGCCCTGCCCTGGTCCCTCGCAAGTGAAATAGAAAATACAAGACATTCAAATTTATTTAATAAAAGATACTAAAGTTTTCCCATGAGGAGCGCAAGGAGTGAGCAGAGTTGACATGCTTGACATCCACCCAAACGCCTGAGTGCGGCGCATCTGGGATTCCCACTTCTTTGGTTGGTTTTGGACCGTGGTTGGACACCCTAAACCCCTAAATACGTAAAGAATAAATCCTCAGACCTAGCTGAAACCCTAACCCGCCCAGCTAGGGGCCCATGCTTAGGACCCAGAAAGAAGTGAAACCCTGAGTCCTAAACCGCGCTGCTGATACCCGTTGAAGTTCCAACCTTGAGCCATTGCTGCGGGTCCCGTGCTTGCGCTGTGGCTGCGGCGGAGCGCGGAGGTGGCGGCCAGTCCTACTTTGCTGAGGGCTTGATTCTCCAGTTTTTCGAGGAGTCGGCGGCCAGTACTCCGAGCTGCCCGGCCAGATTCTGTGCCTGACCCTTGAGAGCGGGAGCCGGACCATCCATTACAAGGTGCCCCGGCGAGTTCGGCTTGATTCTGCTCTATTTCGGGGAGCTGGCGCCCCCTGGGCCTATTCGATTACCAGATCGGTACTATGGCGGATGCAGAGACTGTGCCGGTTCCCATTAGTGAGGATGAGGCCGAGTCGCCGAGCAAGAAAGCCGCTGGTGCTAAGCCGGTCAAAAAGCGGCAGGCGACTGAGGCGGCCCCGGCTGTGGGGGAGCTTGTCTCTCTATCTGTGCTGCAGCAACTTCTAGAGAACCAAATGAGGGAACGGCGTGAGGCACAGAAACTCGAGAATGCAAGGGCGTTGGGTCAGGTCCAGCTGGAGGTGAGGAAAAGCATTGGAGAACTATGTGATGATGAGGACGGTCAACATACAGCTGGCTGGCTTCAATGTGAGGATGGATGACTTCGAGCGGAAGCAGGCAGAATTGGAAGCGCAGCTGAAGAATGATCAGGTTGCCTCCACGCGCGCCCCCTCCATGGCCACATCCAGCGAGGAAGGAGGCCGCCTTGTGGTCTCGTGATGGGTGGATGTTCGCCGGGGCTGGGTACGCCGCCGGCATTCGTCGTGGCTTCGTCCTGGTGGACACGCAGTCCAGACTTTTGACTGTGGTGACGCATCCTTTACTCCCACCCCCCCTGTCGGTGGCCAATGCAAGGGTAAGGTCTGGGCAAACCTGGCCAGATCTTGCCTCGAGATTTCGCAAAGTCTTGCATGTGCACTCGCCAGGGCGGATCCTTGACATCGACACCGAGTACAGGACTGGGACTGTGTGGTGGGGCTCTACCATGCTCTGCAGCGCTACTGCCCCCGACCGCGGGCGCTCTGCAGGCACCTGGGTCGACGTTCAGATCCTGGCGAAGATGACCCAGGTCACTGAGGACAAGGCTCAGCAGTGGGTGCGGGACATCTATGACGAGTGACGGCTGGAATCATTCGGCGGAATATCGGTTCCGCAGCTACGTCAAGCACATTCTTGATGAGGAGCTCGACACTCATGTCTTGGCTGCTCAAGAGTGGCCGAGAGCTCAACCGGGGTGGACCATCCTTGAGGGCAAACACGAGTACCGCGCCAGTACCTTTGCGCTCCTGAAGAAAAAGGAGGGAGAACGAGGGTTGTGGTGTTTGCTCAGACATATTGCCACGGGAAAGAAAGTGTGGGCTCGCTCCACATGCAGCACAATTGTACGGCCACGGAGTATGATGTCACGGTGCAAGAGTTTTTACATTGCCTGCCCAAACAGAAAGATGCGGTGATCCTTTTGGAGGACTTTAATGTCTCCTTCCAGTGGGCACTTGTTTAAGGTGAGTGGGTGTCTGCCAGGAAGGATGCCAAGTGGGAGGTCCTTAAGAACGCACGCATGTTTCATGGACTTAAGCAGGTCCCGCCGCTGAATCCCCGACCCAATGTACCGACCTATGTTGCGCGAAAGGCAGGTGTGAAGTCTACGCAGATTGACGGAGTCTTTGTTGCTGGGTTGCCAGTTGGAGAAGCTTATGTCTTGGAGGAGAGCAGGCAAAAACTGGGGTGTGACTATGAGATCTTGGGATTGACTTGTTGTTTTCGGGGGAGGCCAGTGCCAATGCAGGCAGTGAGGAGGGGTGGTCCTCGTCGGATGAGACCCAGTTGCCGCAGCAGCTTCCTCGTATTGATCAGCAAGGGTTGCATGACCTAGCCAACAAGTGCACGTCGCAGTTTGGAGGGAGCATGAGGTTCTGGGCTTCGGAAAGTGTCAAAGCTTTGGGGCGAGAGGCCAGAAGGGCAAAGACGGGGTCAGCGTGGAAAGATTACCTGAAAGCATTCAGGGAGGATAGGCAGCAGTGGCAGGAGCAGAGGTTGGAGTCGGCAGCCTATGATTGGACCACATATAAGGATATTCTCCTGGCGTTCGCCAACATTTCGAGCAGACACATTGCGACCCAGGGCTGGAGGATCTCGATGAACAGTTGCAGAAGTTAATCCAGGGGGTCCCAGGGGATAGTGTGCCGCTCACCGAGCAGGAAGTTGCGCTGGCGATTGGGCAGGGGAAACTTCGTAAGTCGGCGGGGCCTGATATGACCTCTACGGAACTTCTCAAGGCCCTTGCGGAGCACCCGCAAGTCTTGGCGGGATTGACGGAGTACTTCCAGAGTGTGTTCAGCAGTTCTATTCTGCCCCGTGAGTGGTCTCAGAGCGTGGTTGCGCTTTTGCCGAAGATTGGGCATCCGTCTTTACCGAAACACCTCCGCCCTATCGCTCTCAGTTCCCATGTGGCAAAATGCTATGTGCGTAGAGAGTTATGCCAATTGGTCAAGGAGTGGCACGCAGACGCTGTGTTCTTGAAGACAGACATTAAGAAAGCCTTTGATGCTGCTGACAGAGTGTTCCTGGCACGGAGACTAGTGGGCTGGACGGGCAAAGAGTACCCCTCTGAAACTAGAAGCCTTTTGCGACTACTGGTCACCAATGACATGGACTTTCAGCTCCCATGGCAAGCATTTCAACTGTTATGTAATACAGGTGTGCGACAGGGTTCTGCAGAGAGCCCGGGGCTGTTTTCGAAGCTTGTGGACAGTATTCTTATCGAAATCTCGCGGCCGCCGGCGGACAACCCCTTCAGTGACGTGGTGGTGGGGGAAGCAGCGTTTATGGACGACCTGTTATGCTGGAGGAGGAATATGGTGCTCATGCAGAAGTATGCTGATACACTCATGCCAGCTTTGGCGCGAGCAGGGTTGGTTCTTCAGCCAAGTAAATGCCAGTGGATGTGCTGTGGTGCAGTGGGGGAGAGGAAGCTGAAACTGGGGGATTTTGTGCTAGAGGCCCTACCTGGTGACGAGGCTCTCACCCTCATGAACGTTCCGGTAGGAATCAGTGTCAGTGATGTTCAACTCCTGCGTTTCATCATTGAGAAGGCCCGTAGCAAATTCTTTGGCGTGAAGGAAATACTGCAGAGCAAGGCTTCCTTGAAGGCGAGGCTTGGGCTCATGGAAAAAATTATTCTTGGGGGAATGCGGTGGATGCTGGGCTGCCTGTTTCCGACTGCGAAACTTCAGGAAATGCTCAATGGGTTCCAGATCTGGTGCATTCGAGCGGCCATGAACTTAAAGTGGAATGGGCAAGGGGTGCACACAGAATTCGAGATCAACGCTTTGCGGCTTGCAAGGGCGGCCTTACACCACAATCAGGGAATCCGCTGGGGAAATATGCTGACCAAGCAATTCTGGGGGTACTTAGGGCACCGTGTCCGCGATGGAGACCGTCAGGATGCATCAACAGCGGGGGTTTTAAGTCACTTTCGGACACTCGAATGGTGGGAGCAGCAGCAAACGTCAAGGGATGGGCTTCGGCATGGCGGGGCGCATTTTCCGCAACTTATGAACAGGGAAAGGGCTATTGCAAGGCACTGTGGTGGTGTACAATGGCGAACATGTGCTAGAAACAGAGGGCTATGGCCTACGTTAACGTTGGAATTTGAAAAGAAGATGCAGATCAGATGGGCATCGGGGAGGCGAACTGCGCTGGAAGGGTAACCATTAGGATTTTGTGGGACATGGTCAGTGATGTGATGGTAAATGCAACTGTCGCGGAGTGCTGTGTCGTGCATGTCAAGTTGAGCGCTGGTGTACTTCCACGGTGAGTGATTTGCCACTTGGGTGACTCCTTGCTGAAATGTGAACGCGGTTTTGCATGTGGCAGCATTCTGAGATTGACGTAGATTCCCGAGTCTTAGACGCAACTTTGTGGCCACCATGGGTACCTCGCGCCGTAGGTGCGGTGCTTGCGTGGCTTTCCTCATCTTCACCTTCTACATGTTTGCCGGCGGGGAGGGTACCTCCTACGCTGAAAGTTACCGTGACGGTAACGGCTGTGAGGTCACTGTGGAGAGTAAGAGCCCGGCTCTTGGCAAGGAGAAGTGCTGGCGATGCCGTCTCGCATGGAACCAGCCTCGGATGAAGCCAAGGGGCGAGACAAGGATGAGGTTGGCGCTCATGAGCAAGCGCTCTGGTGGGATGAGGAAGTGAACCAGGGGGATGCCCTCTCGCTGGTCCAAGACGGGTGGAAGAAGAAGGACACGAGAGATGACAGTCGAGACCGAAGCCCCGATGGCCGCCGGGAGAGGCGGGGTGAGGACTCCCGTCATGGCTGTGAAGCACGCAGAGGAGACCGCTCTAATCCATGGCGAGGTGATGGTCATGGTCGTGGGTCTCGTGACCGCCCCGTGAAGGCGAGCCTGCAAGCTCCTCCTCTTTGTGGCGGAGGCCACTCCGGACGGATCGTCGCTTTACGGTCCCGAGAGGCCAACGGGCCCGCAGCTGGGTCTCCTTTAGAGGAAGTGAAAGAGAGGGTGGGGAGCGCGGGAGATCCACTACCTCTGGGGCTTCTAGTGGCTGCAGACGCTCAACGGGTGGCCGAGGGGAGCACGAGACAGTGGATGTGGATGCTGAGGAACCGCGTGGGGTTCATGATCGTGCTGCTGGCTCGCACGAGGTCGAGGTCATTTCGGACCAGGATGAGGGTCGAGGAGGTTGGCCCCGACTCCTAAGTCCAGGCCAGTGCTGGGACCCTTTCGGTACTATGATGGTCTGCTGGAAAGATGGCGTGAGCTCCCGCAGGTGCGGTCCAGCGAGCGGCAGAGGAAGGTGAAGGAGTCCATGCACTTAACGCTGAAGGTTACTTCGCATCTTGGACTTTGCCAAGACCCTGACCATGGAGTCCGATTTCATGGCCTCCTTCAACCGCTTTGTTGCCCTCTTGCAGGTTGAGATCCTTCCCATCATGGAGAGGACAGGGCGAGGTTCGCGCACCGCCATGGAGAAGAAGAGGACGTGATGATGCAGTTGCCGGTGCAGCCCGTGGCGCCCAGTCCGGTGGGGGACCTTGGCGCGGATATGGGCAATGGTGGTGATGAGCATATCCTTATGCAGACCACCTGGCCAAGTCCCAAGCTTGTTGATGATAACTTTCGGTTTGTCCTTCGTAACATGCAGAACGCCTTGGAGCTTGTGACGGAGGAAGTGGCTGGGCTTCGGGCGCAACTCTTTGGAAGGAGGCTACTTGCTTGGAGAACGGGCCCGACTGGCCTTGAGGGAATTGTCCACGACAGGGTTGCGCAACTGGGGGTGGTGGTGGCTGCTTTTGAGCCTCTTCCTGAATGCGATGACCAAGTTCGACTGGAAGATGCCCAATGGGTCCAGGACTGGTGGACGAAGCTTTGGCCATTCTTGGCGACCAGGGGAGTTGGCCAAGATGTCAACCAGGCAACGGGCGCGGCATCCAGTGGAGATAGAGTGGTGGTGGTGGATTCACTCACGGCCGAGGAGGATACGCAGGACAACGGCCAGGGCAATGGTACGGACGTGCAGATGGCGCAGGAAGAAAGGGACCGGCTCTCGGAGGAAGACCAGCTGGACATGGAAGAGCGGCGGAACAGACTGTAAGCGTCGCGGCTACGCGACTGGGAGGAATGGACTATGAGGTAGGCCATGGACCAGTCCCAACGATCAAGCAAGAAGCAACGTGTACAACTTCGCGTCCGGACTTCTTCGGGGAGCACCTTGCGGGCAGTAGCCAGGCGAGTGAAAATGCCGGTTGGTCAACGACTGCGCCTGGAACTGGACCTGGATGACCCAGTCATAGGCTCTACATCGTCGTCTTCGTCGTCAACTGAGCCGGTGCCAGAGGAAGTGCAGGACGAAGATGACGAAGTGACGAGGAAAGTGCTTGAAAAAGATGCAGGAGTTCTTGAACATGCCTCTCAAGAAGACCCCAGCATCCTGGATTTGCCCCGGGAGCGTGGTGCAGCCACGCATGAAGAGATGTTGCGGAGCACCCTTTCGCACCGCGTGGGCATGGCCTGGTTCACCTTGTGGAGGATGGGGGTCCTTCAGGACGACATGGTGGTTGAGCGGTATGGAGAGATTGTCCTCGACATGTTCCGGGTGCGTTGGCCTGCACTGATGCAGATGGAGCTGAAGGGCACGCCGAGGCACCGGTGTCCAGTGCTGGACCTGGAGACTGTGGTGGCCGGCAAGCTGATGCGGGCTGTTGCGCTGCTGCTGGCGCCCCCTCGCTACCTGGCCTCTCTAACTCTGCTGTGGATGTGGTGCAAATGGCGAATGGCGAGCTGGCCTCTGCGTCTTTGGTGGGAATGTCCGATGCGGTTGGCTTGGCTACTACAACCACGGAAGGCTCTGGCGCCTTGATGCCTGCTGCACTGCTGGCGGCAGTGGCGCCTGGTGAAGTGGATGCTGTGGCTATGGACGGCATGGTGGATGACACTTGTGACATGACTGCTACGGACGTGGCGCCTTCTGGAGCCATGCTGGCTCGGACTACGTCGGCGGAAGAGCTGGTGCACATGGCAGGTGTGGTGGTGCATCCTCGAGTGCTGCGGAAGTTGGTGGCACGGCCCTAGACTCCCTGGTTGGTTCTGCTGGTGACAATGGCGTGGAGCAGGAGACTGTCGGGATCAACGGTGAGAACACTGATGGAAATGTTGGTGCCAATGAAGAAAACAATGCCGAGAACAGTGGTGTAGAAGACCTACAACTGGACGAAGCGGTAGGACCGGAGGAGGGACGGACCTGGACAGAGCGGGCACTGGAAAGATGGGCGAAGAAGGACGGTTGTACTAGACCTCTTCAGCGGTGACAAGTGAGTGCAGCCAGGGTTGTTAGTGGACGCGCCTGCCGAAAGGCATTTAGCCGGCAGCGGGTAAAAGGGACGCTGCGCAAAAACACACACACACACACAC